GAAAGCTCCCAGCAGATGCGGATGTTCCAGTTAATTTTTGTAATGTTGTAGAATGTTTTTTTTTTTTCACTTTTTACTTTATGTGATATTTTGTCGATCTAGTGATCTGTTATTTATTTAATGTATCTGGTCAAAAATTTTTTTTGTTATTTTTTTATGTTAGGGTTTCTTATGCATGTGAATTTGATGTGTCTATTACGTTCCAGTTAATTTGATTGCATATTTTATTTGGGCAAATAAACATTTGATATAGATTTTTTGCTATTACGTTATCACTGTGCGGATAAATATTCTGCGTTTTTTCAGTCTGTTATTTAGCTTGCTTGCAGAATTGCGTATGCGAAAAGCTGATTCAGTAATGTTGATTTCGATCATTTCATCAAGGATATAAGAGTACTCGTGAAACAGTACGAAGTATTTGATTGGATTTTTTTTTTTGAGTAGCGGTAGTTCCGTTATGTCTTTCTGTGCTTCATCACATGGTAGATAGTGTCCCGAGGCGAAGGCTAAAGCAAAAATGAACGAATGGCAAGATTATAAATTCTCTGCGTGTAATTCACATGCAGCTGCCGCTTTATGTAGAGCAGTTGACATGTTTTGAGTGATGCAGGGGATTATGCGACACTTTTGGATATAGAGCTGCAATAAACATGATGAACTGGAGTGGAAAATGGCACCATTTGTGTTGAGACAGTTCTTACAAATTATGTGCATGTTATGATGGGTCAGTGTCGTTTTGAATTTCTCGTGAGATATCGTGAGTTGAATGGGTTATGTGAGTGACAGTTAAAGCAGATTAATAAGAATTTAATCGTTTGATGCAGTGTTGGCTGGCCAGAGCTTAACTTGATTTGTATAATCATTCTGCTACATTATGCGTTTGATTTGATAACATAGTCAATTCCTGTTACCCATAGCGATACGATACACTGTTCGTTTAGATCAGTAAATATATGACACATTTCATGTTAGAATGAAGACACGAAGGTCCACTTTAAACGCCACTAAAGCTTCGATTGCAAGGTCTCATTCTACGAACTTCAAATCTTCTGCTTCTAAACAAAAATTCTCAAAGTCCCAGAAATCTACATCAGGACTTACCAAAACGCAGAAGAAAGCAAAGAGGTATCATACATTATTCCTTCATGATGTTTGCAGCACTTTATGTGTCTAACTGCAGATGTCAACATTGCTAGACATTTTGTAGCCAAACTTTTATAATAATTGTAATTCATACTCTTCTAAAAGCTTCAAATCATATTGATTAACTAATGATTTTTTTGCATATATTGTTTTAGTTATGAAGTATTGTTTAGAACATTGACAGTAATCGATTCTGGTACGGAACTTGCTTCTCAGCTGTCTCTGTCAACTGTCAAACCCAAACAGTCACGAAATTTACTTACTTATTCACCAATTAAAACAAGAGCAGTGACCAAGCGGTATGTTCTGTTTTATAAAAATTTTTTTACTCGTTTTATATTTTTTTTGATTAGATTTTTTTGGCTTTTTATTGTTCTGCAATATGAATCATTGTGAAGTTAATATTTTATCAGTTTTCACTCCATTTAATGTTTTCATGATCTCTCAATCGTACTCATGAATCTGTCATAGATCGAAGCTCAAGTCATGTTGCCGGATATGTAAGAATGACGATAACGCTTTTATGACATGCTCTGTTTGTGGAAAAAAATGTTCGTCTTTTGTTTTCTCTGATTTATTGTAGACTGAAGTCATTGTTTCTGGCTTTAAAGTAAATAGAGGTTGAATTCTTATATGGTTATATCAGTGCTCACAACATATGTATTTTTATAATATCAAATTGTTGTGAATTAGACGTAATAATTATAGTATTGTTATATCATATTTCAAAGTTTCTGAACTTAATTTATGTCAAGATCATTTAAAATGCTTGGGGTACAAAGAAGAATCATTACGTCTGATATCTCAAAAGCGATGTTCTTCGTGGTTGTGCCCGGTATGCATATTTTGCAATAAATGCAAAGAACCGATAAATGATGTTAGTTTCAAGCTCTTATATTAATTTTAGTTTTTCTTTCCATTATTTAAAACTGCTAACAGTAATGATAGATAAGAGCTACTTTAGATTCCAAATTTTTGTCAGCATCTCACATTCAGGATTTTATCTGTACTAAAGTCAAAAATTTTTACTGCATCAGATTACCATTTACAGTTTTTTCAAACTAGCAAAATGTTGTTATTTTATATGTATCATTTTCAAGTTTAGAGTATGAATAGTGCTAAGCACTTATTTCTCTTATTTGCAATGTTTACAGCCTGAAAGTGTGCAGTGCTTTTCGTGTGACATTGCTTTTCACGGAAAATGTAAGCCAAGATCTGGGAAACTGACTAATTTGATGAATCCACTGTCGAAGTGGTTTTGTCAAGCATGTAAACCTCCTTCCGATGGATGGTTTGTTTATGAAAATAATAGAAATTAATTTACGATTTGATAATGGTTACATTGATCCACCTCCATCTATAATTACTTTTTACGTTTATGCACATTTTCCAAAAAAATATGCGTAGACCTCTGAATTTTGTGTAGTACTAATTTTTCCATATAGAAAGAAAAACATCATTAATTATAAGTTTTTCCAAATTTTTGGTATGTAATTTATTTTCATCATCTTACTTAAGTACGTTGCTGTGAAAAAGGTTTTTGAAAGCCATCCCCATACGTGAGACAAGATTCCTTAAGGTTGAGATAATTAAAAGCAGATCATAACACCGAAACTAGATTAACTTAGTATTTTATTTGACTCCTTAATGTGGGAAAAAAATGTCAGCACTCAAAACTATCAGAGCTTTGTCGATAATTTGGAGAGGTTTAAGACATGTGGTTCTAACAAGTTGATATTTGCAATTATTTCTTGCTGATAAATAAACTCGTTGATTTTGACTATTACTACTCACTTTATTTAAAATTATTAGAAATCATTTCAATTATGAACAAAAAAGCCCAGATAACATCATGTAAGTTCATAATTTCCGGATACGATATTTCTACTTTGAGTATGTAATGATTTGAATGATTTCAGTAAAGGTTATTCGAAAACTAGAAGGCTAAGGAAAAATAATGAAATTAAAGAGACTGTTACATATGAGAAGAATATAAATTCTGGACCGGATATATTATTTGAATCACGAAAGGTGGTTTTTCTATCTCAGCATTATCATTCCCGTCAGTTATGTTTGCATATTTCCAAGCTTTTCATTATTTTCTTTATTTATATGTTTTAATTAGACCATGAACTAAAGTAATGAATTACTTTCTCACAGATATTTAAATATTCACGACAAAGGAAATAAAACTTTTATTGCAGTTATTATTGTACGGAATACATTAATTCATGAAAAATTGGCAATTTCTGTAGTATTTATTGTATTTATATATTTTTAAATGGATATCCCTTGATTCTGCAGAGAGTTCTGCGAAATACCGCAAACACAGATTCAGAAAGAAATGTCAATACTCAAGATGGTATTAAAGTATGTATTCCTGATGTGCTCGGTAACTTAGGTGTACCTTTGAAAGCCGAAAGACGGAAGAGGCGGTAAGGCTTCTATATAACTTCACTCCATATGATCTATAGTTACCAATTTATGTATGTTGTAAGTTTTATAACAAAGTGAAATGCAAAGAAAGCATTATTGCTGTGAATTGTAGGATTAAAAGAACAGATCATCTGTCTGTTCAGCGATTAGAAGATGAAAAGATGACTGTGGACAAGGCTGTTGAAAGGCAGTGGATACAGTTTGGATCCAGTCGTGTATTAGCATCGTATCGGTCAGCCTACCCTGAACATTTGACCAAAATGAATACTTTATATTTATGCGAATTTTGCTTGATGGGTTTTGCGGATGAGGTGTCTTATACGATTCATAAGGTATTTTTCATCTTTATCGGAAGTTGTCTGTTAAGTAGTGCTCTCATAATTTCTGAACAAAACAACCTCATTTAGATTTCCGTGCTTCAAAATTAATTTGAAATACTCATTTAATGGTTTATCATTAATGGTTAATTGATTCACGAGAATGACAAAGTTTAAGAATCTGTGTAGTTGGTATAACCCACCGGGAAATGAAATTTATCGAGATGGTGTGCTATCCTTCTGGGAGGTGGACGGCAACAAAGACATAGTTTGTTTACTTCTTATGGTGTTACAGTTACAGATAATTTAAGTTGTTAATATATCCGTAATGGTAACATATTCTTCAGTTCTATAAATTTTTTATCAACCATGCGTGAAATATTGTTCTCGATATTTTTTAAAGCACAGTTTCAGTTGATATTTTTATAGCGAGTTTATGACTTTTTTTTTACATCTGATCTAATGATTTCTTCCGTTTAAGAATTTGACCTCCAGCCACTCAGTCTATTGTATTTGTTTGGAAAATGTGACTCAAACACTGTTCACATTGTTCTAGTGGCTTTTTTTGTGTAAATATTTCACCATCCAATGATTGGTTTAGGGTTATTGTCGAAGAGTTTGTCTACTTTCAAAGTTGTTTTTGGCTGCGAAATTTATCCACTACGATGTAGAACCATTTATATTTTATATTCTCACAGAACATTCAAGGAGCGGCTACGTATTCGTGGGCTATTTTTCAAAAGTCTGTTTTTATACCCATTTCACTGATAACTAAAGTGATAGTTGTTCTCATACGTTACCTTTATTGAAGGAAAAAGATCCCGATACGGCTAACAATCTCAGTTGTTTATTTACTTTTCCAACTTCACGACAACTCGGTTATGGAAAGCTTCTTATTGATCTCAGTATGTGTCAGCTTTTTCACAATTAAATTGAACTATTGAATTTGGGCTTTTTAATGGGTTGATGGAATTATTTTAAGAAAAGTGGTTTTGCTTAATGTTTTTAAGGTTATAAACTTTCTGTGCGAGAAAAAAAAGTTGGAGGACCTGAGCATCCGCTTTCTGATTTGGGTCTGATTACTTATCAAAGTTACTGGAAAGCAGTAATTATATCATACTTTCGAAAAAAAAAGCCTGTGAATACTGTCTGCATCAAAGGTTTTAAATTTCTTTTACATGCTCAGTTTTGTCTCTTTTAAACCAAATTTCTCATCATATATCACTTTTTATTCCATAACGGCGATTAAGTCTATGTTTTAAAGATAGATGGTTTATTATAAACAAATAGAATTTTTTAGACATCAGTTGTGAAACGGGTTTACAAACATCTGATATAATTTATACAATGCTTCAAAATAAGATGATCAGATATGTGAACGGATGTCATTTGTTTAGTATGGTATGTCCTTCGCTATCATAGAACTCTCTGTTATAATTTTACAAAGAAAATTGTGCTTTGTTTTTGTCAAGAAAGACAGTTCCTTGAACTGTAGCTTAGACAATGCATGAAGGTCTTTGTAATATTTCACTCGTTTGGAAAGTCCTGGTGATACTTTAAATTCATATGTAGATTTCTTCTGCTAATTTTTCGAGTGTAACTTGTAGTCATAAATTTTATAACTGCTTATCAGATTGGATTCTTCAAATATCTGCATCATTTTAAAATTTTCACATATAATTTCCTTTTTGTTGAAAATACTGTTACAGAAGAACGTATATTTGGCACCTCTTCATGCATTGCGTCGCAGGGTAATCCATGAAGAAAAACTCTTGTGGCAACCTGTCAGGAATTCATAATAAGAGCACATATATCAATCAGAAGACGAATACATTTTTACAGTAGAAATTATTTAATTTTTATGAATGATTATTTTTTTAGAACTACAAGCTTGATATCTAAATTTATATTCATGGTTTACAAAATAAAGTTAAATGTCTCGTGCTGTCTGTTAAAATTAAATGCAAGATATCTCCATTGTATTATATTGTTTCACATAACTCTGCGCTTATAGATGAAATTTTTTGGATAAGGTGTGTTATGATGTGAACAGTTTTCCAGATCAGTATTTTATTCTCTGCAGAATAATTTGCATTACTTGATTACAACGTCAGTAAGTGTTCATTTTCGAATGCAAAAAAGATAGCATTTTGCTTGACGCAAAAGCAAAAGTTCCTGGTGTTCTTGTTTGGATTTTCCCGTAATGTGTAATAAACTGTAATTGTTCTGGTACTTTCGTTGACATTGTGTCATCAAAGTATGTAATGGAACAAGCATTAGTGTTTATGGAGCTTATTAACAATCGCAATACCAAATATTAGTTATTTGAGTACAGTTTCAAGTTGACAGTTGGTCGGGTTTCTTGTTTCTGGTTCATTGGTTGATTCGGAGTATTATTGGAATTGCTGTGTGAACAATGGCAAGTATACTCGACTTACCGTGCGAATTGATTTTGATGGTTTTGGACTACGTTCCTAGTCGTGATGTT